CAACTGAAACACCACGTGCTACAGGTGAGTTGACTGCAGAGACCCTGCTGGTGAAAGTCTCAGAACTGAGTTCAGGCATATTTCTCTTTGTCTAAACACAAGAGCATGGTCAGTTCAACTCACGTCACTTACCTGGTTTGTACTAATTAACTTAGCCACTAGCCTACTAGTGGCTTATCTTCATCCATTACCTTAATATTTCTTTAATTGACTCAATTTAAGTAAGAAATAAACCACATCTGGTGCAAAATTTGCTGAATGATTGAGATGTGGTGCTGCTCAGTACCTCTCAGTCTGACATTAACACTCGATCACTTCTCAATGGGCTTCTGAGTATCTGTAACATGACAGCTGCCTTCAGGATAGTCAGAGGAAGGAAAAAATTAATGCTTATTTGTTTTATTGTAAATAACCATCTCATATTGTAAACAAACTAGTAAACATACCTTAGCCAGGCGTGCAGCATTTATAAATCAGTGTAAGCAGCTCTGTTGCTCTGGTAAAATCAATTGGTATATACTGATTTGTATTTTTCATTGATCAGACCTGCCTGCATGAGATTAACACCTTGAAATTATCTTTTATTTGAAAAGTGAGTTTGGCCTATTTCTTTGCAGCACGGAATAGCTTTTAATAGGAATGTGAACCCAGAATTCTGTGTCCTTTTAAAAAATGGATTTCGTTCTGGAAATCCACATAATAATTTTTTCCAGGAATAACCTGGGCTTTTTTCAGGCTGGATAAATTCCAGCTCAAGTAATTACACTTTGCCTTCCTCAATTCCTCCAAAGGTCTAATGAATTCAGGCACTCTTAGTATAACATTATTACATGCTGCTACTGTACATGGCTAAACAGCTGTTGTACTTCCCCCCAGTGACAAATACATTTCAGTGGTGCGTGAGCTGATTCCCTTACATCTCTCTGCTGGGGTGTGCCAGAACGATTCCAATGCTCACAGTCCTCCAAGAAAAAGCACACTGGTTACAAGTACTTTTATCATGGTCTTGCTAATCTTGCTCATCATTCTTTGTGTTACTGGTTAAATTCACTTCCAGATCTTGAACTACCATAGGTGGGAAAGTCTCAGAGCAAAGGACAGCATGTTGCCAGAGGTGCCAGGTGCACTGGCAAGCTTTACTCACATGGCACATGTTCTGAATACCTGAAAAGGCAACCCCCACTGAGGTAATTAGTTACATCTGTGTTGCTTGACAGACCTATGACACCTATGTTGGCTGCTGTCCATCTATAGTGAAAGAAAAGTTTAAAAATCTATCATTACTGGAGATGGGAAGCCCATAGCTACAGTACTGCCTATTCTGCTTTTCCTTTTGAAAGCATTTTAGCCTCTGTTTTTTTGACTAGGTGTCAGTCCAATCATTGCAGCAGGAACATGCTGCTTTGATGCCACCAGTTCCCAGTTCTAATAATCTAGTGTGACTCCTGAGGTTTGCAAAATCAGCTGCAGTGCTTATGCCTGACCCCTGTTGTCAGACTGGAGCCAGATGTCCCATTAGAGCCTCACAGAATAGAGGACTTTCCAGGCCTTGTTCAGCTTCAGAAATCTTGCCCTTTTCTTAACCACGGGGATAGTGAGGATGTTTCAGTGTCAGGGTTGAAAGCAACAGCCTCTTTCTTCTGTAGTTCAAACAGCTGAAAAGCAACCTGATGCCCAAATGTGATACCAGGCTACACCATCTACGTGGGGGGACCTGTGCACTACTGGGGCAGCAGCTGACAGTAGGAGAGCTACAGAGAGAGTGAGTCTCAAGAAAATAAAGATGAACATGACAAGGATCAGAAGGGAAGGTTCTCTACCATGTGCTTTGCTGTTTGACCTTCAAGGATCCTTTTGGACATGCCAGAGGATTTCCAGCCATATGCGTTAACTCCCAGCATCTGCACCCAGGTCTACCAGATACAGTGGGCACAATTTTTTTGTGGAGCTGCTGCAAGATGGGATAATCCACACTTCTGTATCTTCTGCACCTGTGGATACATTTATCTATCAGCCCACAAGGGGCTCAGTTGGTCTTCTTGCATTGCTTGAGGGGTAGGATTTCAGTTGGCAGCTTCTGGGTCAGGCTAGCTTTGGTATGTGGAGTAGCTCTGGGAAGGAGATGGTTTAGCTCTGAGTGTCCTGCATCAGCCTGTCTCTGATGTCCATTAGGGTTTCACTGAGTGCTAATTTACAGCTTCCTTCCTGCACGGATGGCAGCTGCCATCCTACCAGACCCCTCTTCCGACTGTGACACTGACATCCTCGGTCCATGACATGAAGAACTGGGAAAAGGTTGCAGCAGGGAGGTGGCGTGTGCGTGGCCACCGGGGAGCCTGCCTTTCCTGCACGTGCTTCCAGAGTCAGCCAGCTCACATTTCAACTGAACTCGGTCTGGAGGTGGACATATTCAGCACACATCCTTCCTGGGGAAAGGCTGTCATCCCTGAGACACTGCTTCCTCCAAGCCCATTGACTTCCAAGACGTGGCATGGTGTGTAGAGAGCAAGTTAAAACATTAGAAAAAAAGGTTTGATTTCACATGTGTTACTGGGCAAATTGACATTCTCCAGAGGAGAATATAGATGAGAATTGGAATGGCAAAAAAATGGAAAAAACTCGTGGGTTGAGATAAAGACAGTTTAATAGGGAAAGTAAAAGTCACACGCAAAGCAAAATGAGGAATTTGTTCACTGCTTCCCATGGGCAGGCAGGTGTTCAGCCATCTCCAGAAGAGCAGAGCCTCATCACATGTAACAGTGACTTGGGAAGACAAATATCATCACTCCAAACTTCCTCCCCTTCCTTCTTCTTCCTCCAGTTCTACATGCGGAGCACAACACCAATACAGTATGGGATATCCCTTGGGTCATTTGGGGTCATATGCCCCAGCTGTGTCCCCTTCCAATTCCTTGTGCACCCCCAGCCTCCTTGCTGGTGGGGTGAGTGAGGAGCAGCAAAGGCATTGGCTCTGTGTAAGCCCTGCTCAGCAGTAACAGAAACATCCCTGTGTTATCAACCCTGTGTTCAGCACAAATCCAAAACATAGCCCCATACTAGCTACTACTGAGAAAATGAACACTATCCCAGCCAAATCCAGCACAGAGGCCACACTTTCTCCTCAGCTTTAGACACCTGCATAAATGTTGACAAAGTTTTGCACATAACCTGAAGCATTTTTAGAGGAGGTGTCTCATGTGATCTGGAGTGCTGTCCATTTCTGGTGCCTCCATACAGAGTCAATCTCATTCAAGACAGGCTTCAAGGTTATACCTGCTGGCCTCCTTCCCCTACCAGCACTCATCCCAGCAGGGGTAGTAGTCGGGGTCTTTCTCTGCCAAGGAGAAGGGGAGTAAGGAGCTGATGCTGCACTACCCCAGTGCTTGGGGTTGATGCCAGGGGCTGTCCAGACAAAAGGAAGCTGGTGCCCAGACAAACAGCTGAAGGTTTGGTTTTGCATTACGGGCTGCTCAGACAGAGCTTTATTTGCTCTTTACCTTATGCCAAATAGGGAATCCCTGTGGGAAGTAGACACTCAAACTAATGTTTCCCCCTGGGCTGAGAATGTGGGGACATTAAATCACCAGTTTCAGGATGACCTTGTACCTCTGTGTAATAGTCACAGAGATCAGTGGAGATGCGGCTCCCCTCCTCCTCTTCCTCAGCTTTCCTACTCTGTTGTCTCAGTTTCTTCATCACCCTCTCCTCTTCTCTTTTCTCCTTAGTCTGCACAGATCCATATGGCTTTAACAGAATATCATTAACCTGCAGCACTACAGAAGGCTGGTGCTTTCTTAAAAACCTGCCACTTTCTATTTTTACCCTCTCTGAAGTACAGGCGCCTCAGACCAAGCTGAGGGGGCTGACCTGCTGCTGTGAGCTGATCTTGACTGCTCTATCCCTGCACAAGTCTTATCCTCCTGGTGCTTCAGAGATGCCTTGGACTCCAGGTTATATCTTTTCAAACTGTGGCCCCTTAAGAAATTTGTACTATACCCTGCCTAAAATGGGTAGGAGGAAACTTGCCTTTTCAGATATGCATATGCAAATGAGGATGCTGTGAAATTTGAATAAGAGTATGTGGTTTTGCTCAGGTGTACTTGTACACCCCCCCCAGCTCATTGTAAGTTTGCGTTTCTCACATGGCTTTTTAAGCAAGAGTCTGATGATAGTTTGTATCACTAAAAAAAAAAAAAAAAGACTCTCCTTTTTTTGTTTCCCTCAATCTAAGTTATATTTTCCTCATTTAATGGCTGGATAAGCAAATATTCACTGCTTTCATTTCATGTGGTTGCTTTCTATTCAATCATAATGATATATCTTCATGTAGTACTATGGTGTATAAGTTGGGATGAAGGGAGTGTAGATTGTTTTCTCTTGCAGGCTGATTGCAAACCTTCTCAACATTTACCAGTCATTGTACTGGCAGCCAGTTTAATCACATATTCGTGGTAAGGGAAAGCACATTGGGCTTCAAAGATACTTACAAATTGCCTTTTTGTGAATGTCAAGTTATTTTGCCTCAGAATTAAAAAAAAAAGTCTTAACACTATGAGATCCAGCTGGACACCCAACTTTCCAAACTCCAGGAATGCTAACATTAAAATTTGAAATTAAATGAAAACCAAATCTTTAAACCTTATGAAATCATCAAGTTTCATCTTGAAAGCTATCTCAAATGTCTAAAGTTCAAAACTTGTAGATTGTACTGGTGTGACTGAAAAACTTTTTTTTTGCAGCAGCAGATTTTTGCTTCAGTGTTCAAACTCTGGAGCAGAGGAACATAAGGCATAGTACCAGATTTGGGCATTTTATATATCCTCTAGTGAAAATTGCTTATATAACTTGAACATGCAGTTCAAGCCTTGCAGTATCATCCTGACTCTGAGGATTCACCATGGTTGCTGGCTCCCAAAACCAGGCTGTTCCATATCGGCTGTTTAAATGTCTAACGTATATTTATTAAAAAAAAACCCAAAAAACAAAAAACAACCAAAAAAACCTGCATGGGCAGGTCGTTGCTTACCTGGAAACAACTCTGTGTTTACAGAAAGCTGTGGTTTGAGGGACCTTATAATTTACTACAATTTATTTCTTTCATGAGTTAGTAGGTACAAAAAAGGCTTCTTTTTCTTCTTTCTTCAGCTGCAACATAATGAAGTGGCATACATCAAAATCTGCATTTCCACTGCATACAAGGAGCAAGCTTTGCTGTACACAGGGCTCAGTTGTCATGGAAGGAAGACAGGGTTGAAGTGACCACACACCATTTTTTATTCTCTCCCTCAGTCTCTGCTGGATCTGGTGCATTCTCTTTATAAGAAACTGCTATTACAGTAGGGTGTCACTTCAATCCCTGTTCACAGGTGTTACTTCATAGTTTTTGGTTGGGTTTTTTTCACCATGAGATAATTAAAACATAAGAACAGATAATTTTGGGATGGTTAAGTAAAGCCTTTGAGCTCTTTGTACTTCGGTACAAATTTCCAGGTAAATTTTTCAGTGCAGAAATCTGTTCTTGCCCAGGGGTCATACTCCAGTTCCTGTAGTCTCTGGGTCAGAGTGTTTTTTCTGACTTCATCTCACCTAGGAAAGCATGGGTTGTCTCAGTAATGTTCATGCCTGCCATGAATCTCTTATTCCAAGGTCCCATATTTCTACACTTAGGGCTGTGGGCTCTGAATATATTGCAATGAAGGACCTGAAGCTGCCTAGGATCATAAAGTGATGCCTTGCAAGCTTTGAAATGCCTCCCAAAGGGTACTACAAGGATCCTTGTAAGTACTGTCCTGCTACTGTCCCTCTTTGAGTAGGATGGAGTCATCTCTGGTTTTATTACTCTCCTTTTGAGGAAATAGGTACAGTCATTGTGTGGAAAGACAGGAAGCTGGGATCTTATGACCTAAAAGGACAATCTGCATGAAATTCTTGAAAGGTGAAAAGTTCTGTATGTGTGATTTTACCTATTAGTGAGTGTGGAAGGTTTTCACTGCTGTCCTTGCCTATTGAAAGCATGTGATTTAATTTCTTCCTGTTATCGAGATTGTTGCCCTTGCTTTTTCTTCCTTACCTTTCTCCTTTTGTACATGGTTGCTGCTTCTGATGCAGCTTGTATCTCCTTTATACAACCCTTGCTGTCTTATCGTTCAAAACTGCCTTCAGTCTTGATAAGAGCACAACAAAAAGCAAAGCACATCATGGCCACAGACCAATATTGGCTCATGGAGCATCTTTGAAGTAACAACCTTGGTTTCTCACTTTGCTTAACAGCTTCTGTTTCAGACCCATTTGACCCAGTTTTCACAGAGCTTGAGAACTCATCGCCCGCTTTACTTGGTGTCTGCTACACAGTTCACTCTGTTCAGTGATTTTCAATTGACCTTTCCAGTTTATCTTGCTTCTTTGTCACCAGCCAACCAAAGGGCAGGTACTGGATATGTTTAAGGCAGCAGGTTGCTAATGTGGGCACTGTTTGGCCAGTGGATGTGCATCCCTGCAGCAGTGTGAGGAATGACAGAAGGATGTACAGCTTGCTGGTAGAAGACAGCTGATTTCAGAGCTTAAAGGCTTTGCATATTAGAGCCTGTGCCAAGGAATATTAAATATTATTCCATGTTCAGAAATAAAACTCTGCAGATGATACTGAATGGTATTTCTCTGTATCTTCCTTTCCAGTTTTCCCAAAGAACTCCTCAAGGCCAGCGTGTAATTTTGGAAAGATTCAGTCCCTTCTGTAAGTGTCTGCCTACTGTACCTATCTTGTCTTTTCAATTATGATGCTGGTTTAGACTGTATATGTTCTTTCATGTCCTGGAGACTGACCCTGTGTGATTTTGCTTAGAGAATAATAATTAATTTTATTTTAAAATAAATCTAATTTTATTCTTTTACCCTTAGAACATGATAATTTTTGAAAGTAGAATAGCTCGCTGGATTCTAAGAACTGGGTGGCTTAAAGGGGCAGTTATGGAAGCTAATCCTTCACTTTCCAAGTTGCTGACTCAATTCCCATTAGCACAGTAGTGAGCAATGTTGCCATCTGACAACTGCCTGCAGCTCACATCAAAATGAGATGGTGATTTAAGGCCAGTCTTTGGGGCTGAAGGGAAACTGAAGGAAAAAAAAAAACTCAGAAAGACCCTCTAATCTCTACTGCAAGTTGGGACCCTGTGAGCACCCTTGGCTAAGTACCAAGAACTGAGATGAGAGATGTACACATGGCATTCTGCTTGGAAAAATTCCTTATCTCAGTGAGTAAACTCAGCCCATCCTTCACAGGTCATGGTGTGACTCAGGCTTCAAGATGCTTTGCAGCAGCAATGGCCCGACTAGCCAAATGGTAATCTTAAAATGTGGTGGATACTGGGTGCTTTCAGTTACATGAGAGTGTGTAATGGGTCAATTTTCTTTTAGAAAAAACCTCATGTTTAAAGAAGTCTGTAATTTCTGCAAAAACTCATGTAAATACTTTGGCATTCCTGAAAATCTCTACGTCTTCCAAGTGTAACACACTTCAAGACTTTTCATGAATGAAGAAACAAAATTTGACCTCTTAGATGAATCAGCTTCCGTGTTTGCAGTGGCACTACAAGACTGGGGATACAGTGCCATTAAAAGACCGTATGTGCTACCTCCAGAGCTTACCTGTAATGAGAATATTGCTGATTTCATACCTTGATTTCAAGTTACTTATAAGCTGCATAGGTCTGCTAGGAGATTAAAATATTGGATTGAATGGAATGGGCAACACAGGGAAAATATTCATCAATCTCTGACTTTCATAAAACAGAGACTTATCTGCAAAAATATCTTTTCAATCACTTGTAATTACGGCTGTCCACTGATAACCTCAGGGCCAGGATGAGACATTAGATTAAGGCCATCAGGTGTGCTGGATTTTACAACTTGGCTGATTTAATGAGTTACTTCAATAGGTATTATAATTGAGGTGAATTAATTTCTTCACTGTGTGACCAGGTCTCCTTGTTAGAAGTCATGTTCCCTGGTCTGGCAGACAGTGCAGCCTGGAAGATCAGCTCAACACACAAGGTTAAGCCATGGGAAAGCGTCTTTTCTTAAGCAGAGATGTAGTTCTACCCGCTGCTTAAATACTACTCTATTAATTCTCTAATTCACAAGAGTGTTAGGGGATGCTGTCCAGTGTTCAGGACAAACAAAATCAAAGTTTGTTACAGTATTGATCTTCTCTGAGTGAAAAAACAGAGCAGAAAACCCTACCTCACTTGAAGCTTGCCCATCTCCTCACTCTTGTGTCCTCCCACATTTTATTTAGAGATACACAATTCACATGCCAGCTGTCCCTTACAAATAGTGGCAAATGCAGTTCACCTCCAGATAGACACTCCTTCTTTTGCTAGCTCTATCCTGACACAGGAAAAGCCAAACATGGCACTTCTGGAGGATTTGAGAGTGGAGGGATCCAGAGTTAGCGTTGGAAAAGAGAGGTGTGAGATGAAACTAAAAAGCTAACAAGATGTCTTTTTTTGTTAAATTTTCAACTGTCCTACTGTAGCATCAGCAGACCCTGATGAAAGGGTGAAAAAAGCTAGAGTGTTGATTTTTCCAGTGTCAGTTGAGACTCTGTCCAGGAAACAGAAAGTATTTTATAAAATATGCCTTTGTAGGTGTTGGAATATATTGGGCTTTGTTACTGGTAAAAAATACCTTCTTGATTCTTTGTTACCCGTGTTCTCATTATAGAGTAAATGGGAGTTTTTCTTTGAACAGTGGAACTCACCTGATAATTTTGAAGCATTTGGACAGTTTTGTTGCAAGTTGCTATTTTCAAGCTCAGTAGGAGGATATAAAATATGACTGATACATAACTCTTAGCGTGAGGCACCAGAAACAAGTCAAGAAGGCAAAATGGAGAGCTAACTTGCTGGTTATACTTCATATGCCAAACGTTCTTCTCCAAGCCGGAAGGCATTAGACATGAACAATAAGAATTGTCTGTATTCTCACAGTGCACAGGTTAAATTCCATTGTTCTCTTCCTCTTCACACATTCAGTTTAACAACAGCCATGGTTTAAGGTTAATTAGATTAGTTTCACGTATTTTGAAAGCCATGGAAAGATGAAGAGCAGCAAACAGATAAGACGATCAGGAGAACCCCACTTTCTATTTCTGGCTTTGAGGCTGCATCATCCCTTTCCACCTCTCTGCCACACATTCCTTATGAAAAATCCATTAGTTCAGATTGCTTTTTTAAGAAAAGCGTTTGTTTCAGAAGACAAAACCTCTCACTGAACCTGTGCAAGAAGTCCATGATCCTTGCCTGTTACAAACAGCTTTTATACATTCAAGGCTGGGCAATTTCACGGAGAAAAAGTACAGATGATGTCCAAACTCAGGCAGTGGATACACATATTTTTCCACCAGTGCTGAAGCTGAAATCACTGACAGATTTTAGTGTTGGCCTTGGTGTAGCAAAAAAACTCTTACAGGTCTTACCCTCGAATGTCTGCACTCTCATGCTGGCATAAATGCAGTGATAATTTACGCCTGATTCACATTTTTAAGGCACTCAGAAGAAATTTGAGAAGAAAGCACTGAGCAATAATTCATTGGGTCCATGCGAGAAAATCAAGACACCAGAATATTCAGTAAAAATTAGGTGGCCTAGGATGCGGTGGGAAACCTAGTTGGCCAGTTTAAGACAGATATCTAACTCTTGGATGGCTTATAAGATGTGATGTCTGTCTTGGTTCTCACATGTTGACCTAATCAGTTTCATACCAAAGTAATTCAACTTATTCATGCAGGCATGAGAGGAGAATGAGGTCTTTAAATAATTAAAGATTTGTAAATGTCGAGTATAAAATAGGTGTTATCTCCTGGTTTTCAGTTGTTAGTTCTTTCTGCCTCCTGAATGCCTCATTGAAGGCTTTTAGTAGTATTAAAATACAACTTCTACACTATAGAGTAAGAGTTTGTTGCCTCTGTCTGTCTTATATGTGCTTCAAAACTTTTGTTTTACTATTTTCAAAGGAAGATTTTTAGCAAAAACCTGACTTCAGTTTGAGTTTTTAAATTTAAATTTGTCGTAAAATGTACTTAAACCTATTATAAATGCAGCAAAGTAAGAAACAGGCTTTTTTCTTTTTCTTTTTTTCCAAGGTCTTGGCTTTGTGTCTGCTGAGCTAATGGTGTCAGGAAAGCGAGTTAAACTTTTGCTGGTGAAGATGGACTTGTTTTCTCAGGGGCAAGTGGTTTCAAAAGTCTCTATTGGTGCACTTTGTTCCCTGGCAGGAGTGGGGAGCCACGCCTGATTTAATTTTGGCAGTTCTCTACATTCACATGCATACCATCAGTCTTACTCTGTTTTTCATTTGGTCCTTTCACACAACATAGCGGGGAAAGAAGCATTTCTTTTAGTGAAAAATGTGATTGTGAACACATGAATTATCAGCAGCCTGCAAGCAGAGCTTGCAGTCTTCTAGAGCTCACTTCTGTGTAGCAACTGACATTGTTCATTTAATTCAGCACTGACTTTATACAGGTTTCTAAAGTATCACTTACAGTTTTGTTATTTGACTTCAATAGCAAAAAACCAACATAGGTGACCTATGCTTAACTCAAAAGAAGTAATAAAAGAGCATATGTTTATTAAGCAATAATATAGGAATCTTAATAAGCTATTTCTACAACTGCTTCTCAAACCAGAAGTATGCATTCTTCAAATGAGCATTGGGTACTCTTTTCCCAAAAGCCATTTAGTATTGTGGCTAAGAAAAACAAATTGGTCAACAATGGATTGCAGTATGAGCAATGTTTTGAGATGAAGTTATGTTTCTTTCCTCCTCCTGGGTAAAGGCTTCCTAATCTGAATTTGTCCAAATTAAAATTGTCAGTGCAATCAATGTACTGATTCACAGACTAACTGTGGGTGAATCTTGCACAGAAACCAGGAGTTTATAGCAGTCTACTGAGATTTGTCTTAAAAAAATATGATTTTCTGAGCTTTTACTATTTCAAAAAAATTGGAAAAATACCTTTATTATTCATTCAAATGTAAAATAATTGATCTGAGATACAACTACTTTATAAAGCATATTAAATGATGTATTTTTACATAGAATTTATCTAATACATATCAATTACTGCCTTATGTCTGGAAGAGTAATGAAATAGTTGTTTCAGAATTCTCAAGTCTGGGCTTCCTTTTGTTGTAAAACCTTTCTTTTTATCCAAAGCCAAAATTCCTTGTGCAGTTGTTTTTTTTGTTAGTGTTGTTGTTGTTTGGTTTTGTGTTGTGGTTTGTGTTTTTTTTTCCGCTGGAAGTCAAAATTAATGGACCATTCAGAAAGAAACAATCTCTGTAAGGAAAGATGTAAATCAATCATCTGCGTGTAGCTGATGTCCCCATGTGATCACTTGTTCTCAGGAGACTACAGGGCATGGAAATATACCCCTATCTGCTGACCTGCTTATTCTTGAGGAGAACAGCTTGTTAATGCCTGTCTGGTGGAGCTGTCTCCCTTCTTATCCTACTCTCAAACCAGGATTGTCCGCTGTCCATCTTACTCAGATTTTTAAATATCAGACTCATCGTCTTTCAATGTGGGGCAGTGCACTGTGACACCATAGGTACTATCTTCTCTTAATATCTGCATTCCTCCACTGTCACCCACTTACAGCCTACTGTTCCCATCACAGTTGTGGCTATCTCAGTACATTTTCAGAAGGCTTTAATAAAAATTATATGTTAGCTGTTTTTTTAAGGCTCTTTAAAACCCTGTCTGGCTTGGAAGATGTTCTGTTATCATAGGAGGACTGTGGTTGGTTGCTAGCTCTCAGAATGCTTGTGAGCACAGAAAACTTTCTTACCAGCTCATCTCTTCAGCTCCTGCTCAGGTAAACAGGCATGAATGTATTTCCCTTCGTTTGTTCATTTTCCAGCAGTTCTACATAAGACTGTAAATTCTAAGGGATGTGTGCTGTCTTTTACACTCCCTCAAAAATTTGGTTATGTGCTATATTTACACTAAAAACAGTGTAAATATACTCTGTTATTTCCTCTAACAATAGTTCTGACAGACTCCCTGAAGCTGTTACCTGTGATGTGCTTTGGATCAAGCCTAATGAACTGCAGTTATTTGAGGGGGAGTTTATTGTTGACACCTTTGTCACCAGACCAAATCCCTTGGTTCTTTACAACAACCCTCCTGGATGCAGTAAATAAGATCTGTGGGCAGTGGCTGGATGATGCACTGCCTGAAGTCAGGTATAATAGTTTAATTGACTAACTTCTGAATCGGTATGTTTTGAATAGGTTAATCCTAATAATCTATCAGCACAGAAATGGAAATAAGGACTGAAACGTTAACATTGCCTAGTTTAGTTCTGTTGAGGTGAAATACCCAAACAACTTCCCTCTGTGGAGAAGGGAGCTCAGCATTACCAAGGCAAGGGTTGTTGATTTGAAGTAATGGAATTTCTTCTTTTATAATCAGTGATGAGATGCTAAAAAGAACAAATATATTCAACTGCAAATTTCACACAAAATGTAGTCCACAAACCTTTGGAATACAAATAGTGTAAAAATCCAGTTGGAAGCAGGCTAGCTCCAAGAAGAACAGCACCCAATTTTTTGTGCTGTATTGTACCTTAGAGTATGAGCCCTTCTTGGAGAGATACAGTAGTTGGGTAAATCTCATCCCTTGTGCTGACAAGTCTCATCCTGCAACCAGGGTATGACATGTGAATTTAAGATTTAGTATGTATCACACAGTGATACATAAATACTGATTAATAAATCGCAGCCCTGCAAGGATTTTAGTCTGGAGCATGTTTGTAGCTAAGATTTAATTAGTTGGCTTTACATCCTGAATATGGAAGTTCAGCACACACTTTTTTATGTGAATAGTCCCCCTGCAATCAAGGGGAACAACTATCAAGGTCGTAGCAAGCTTCTTGTCTGCCACCAATGTGAAGCCTGCTGCAGATGTTTACACAGAGTATGATTTTTAAAATTGCATGCATTTATTTACTCTGATAGAATTATTTGCCCCAAGTCAAGTGAGTAATTTGTGTGGATCTAAGATTTAATCTCCTAAGGAAAGTCTCCTTTTTAATTCTTATCCTTTATCCTGTGCTCCAAATTTCTCCTTCTTCAATTAGGCACTTCTATATGCTGCAAAATGTATTGAGCACCCATAGTTACATCTGAAAAATGTCAACAGAGAACACAAAATGCGTTTTCCTGTGTTTGAGAGCCTTTTTAGTAATTTGGAGTGGCAGCAGGATGACTGCAGCTGATGCAAAAGGAAAAAGTATGGTTATTAAGCCGCATAGGTAGCAAATTATCTCAATAGTTCATATTTAATCTTTTTTTCTGTTTGGGTTCTAACACTGGCACTGAGCTCTTGGTTCATGATAAAAAATCAATATATATTTAGTCTTAATTACAGTTCATCACTTCACTCTTTTAGTAATTTTGATTATTTTGCTACTTGATTCAGCACAAGAATAGAATCAAAGTATCATTTGGAATGGAGGACTAGGGAAATAACTCCACCAAAAAAGAGTTTGTTGAGTAAAAATGTGTTGTCTTATTGCCTGTAATCAGTAACACTAGAAGTGTGAAGGAAGTAAATGCTGTCTTTATCTGCTGGCAATGTTGTACTCTTAGCTGCTGCTATCATTTCAAAATAATCCTTATCTGAATGGATGAAAATTCCTTCTCCTTTTCCTTAGAGTGACTGTTGTCCTTCTGTTCCTAAGTGTGATGTGTGCCATGGACGAGGGAACTAAATGAACTTACTGCCTCTGTTTTTCCATCTTACCAAGTTCAGAAATCACTTTCAGAGCAATCCTGTTTAGTCACAAAGCTGTCTGCAGTTCAAAGATTATTGTGACATTATTATTATTAGAAATCACTGCAGGGACAACTTGCCAAATGAACCATTAAAAGCTAGCCA